AGAAGATCGGTACTCTCTATGTAACCTCAAATTTGGAGAATATCATTACAATAGCATATGCTGATGGAAAATCAAACCTATGGCACCAAAGGCTTGGCCATATGAGCGAGAAATGGATGAAGACACTTTTCTCAAAAGGGAAACTGTCAGATCTAAAGAGTATAGATGTCGGACTATGTGAGGATTGCATCTTTGGCAAACAAAAGAAAGTCAGTTTTTCAAAGATTGGTAAGACACTCAAGGTTGAAAAGTTAGAGTTGGTTCATACTGATGTATGGGGATCATCTCCAGTTTCATCTCTTGCAGGCTCACTATATTATGTCACATTCATCGATGATTCTACAATGAAGGTGTGAGTTTATTTTCTAAAGAATAAATCAGAAGTCTTTGATACCTTTAGAAAATAGAAGGCCATGGTGGAAAATGAGTCTGGTTTAAAAGTCAAGCGGTTGATGTCTGATAATGGAGGAGAGTACATAAATAGTATATTTAGAGAATTTTATGCAAACAATGGGATCAAGATAGAGACAACAGTTCTCATGACACCGTATCAGAATGGCGTAGCAGAGCGCATGAACAGAACTCTGAATAAACATGCCAGAAGCATGATAATACATGTCGGCTTGCCCAAATTGCTATGGGCTGAAGCTATCAATACTGCAGCTTACCTGATCAATCGTGGGCCTTTAATTCCCTTGGATGGTGGAATACCAGAGGAATTTTGGAACAGAAAAGAATAAACCTTTCACACTTAAGAGTGCTTAGTTGTATTTCTTATGTACATATAAATTATGCTGAAAGAAGTAAACTTGATGCTAAGTCCAACAAATGTGTCTTTGTTGGTTATGGTGGTGATGAGTTTGGTTACCGTTTTTGGGACTATGAAAATCGAAAGATCATCAGAAGCAGAGATGTAATTTTCAATGAGAATATGATGTACAAAGGCAAGTCAACCATAGAATCAAGTAGCTCTAATACCGAAGCTGAAATAAAGGAATTTGTTGAGTTTGAGGAGATTTCTAGAAATGATGTTTAAATCAGTCCTACAGTAGTTCAAGAAGAACCAGGCACACCAGAACTGGGACGCTCCTCCAGAATTCCTAAACCAACCCAGCGTTATTCGCCTTCTTTGCACTACTTATTGCTGAGTGACAATGGTGAACCAGAGTGCTATGATGAAGCAATGCAGGTGGAGGATTGATAGGGAAGTGGTGGCGGGTTAATGAACATTGCTCTTGTTGAAGAATCAAAACTAGAAAGCTCAAGACTCGATTAAGAACAAATGGGATGAATAGGGGAAGGTGGAGGCAGTAACTAGGATTCTTTAGGGTTTCTTCAAGGCAATAAGATTAGAACAAAATAAACAAAAGGATAAAGAAATTGAAAATAAAATAAGATAAGATGATAAAGAAATCAAAAGATCTCCCTTACGAAGGTGGACGGTAAAGATGATTGATTGTGCAGATGGATTTGTGGAAAAATATATGGATAAGTGTCCTATCGAACCCTCCTAGTCGCAATGAAAAGGCAAACTCGATAAATGGCTCTAATCAACCCTCCTAGTCACGATGAAAAGGCAAATTGGAGTGTGAAGATTAATCTCCCTCACAAGAACTTGAAAGAACTCCAGGAGAAGAAGCTTCGAAGGCACAAGGCAATCAACACTTGCAAAAATGAACTCTCGTTGTATTATTAATCAAAGAAATATTGAATTACAAAGTTTAATGAAGCCTCCTTTATATAGGGGCTAAGTTCTAAAGATCCTAAATAACTAATGAATAAAATAATAATAAACTAAACATAACTTAACTCTAATTCCTAATAAAATAATAATAACTAAAGATAATACTTTTAACCCAACCTTAATTCCTAATAAAATAATAAATCTAATCCTAAAAGATAATGCATCATCCTATATTAAGTTATATTACAAATAATCAATAAAAATATTGAAAATTCGTAATATTTACAAAATCCCGTATTAATCCCGTATAGGATTTTCTGCATGCACCGTCTTCAGTAAAATAGCCATATCTTGAGTTCCCAATATCGGATTGATGCGATTAAAGAACCGTTGGAAATATAAGAGACAGACGGTCGTATCTACAGAAGACATATTGACTAAATAAGATTAGGATCCCATTCAAAAATTCGTCGTAAGTATGCTTCTGTTCTGATCTTCTTTTCCAATGCTTGGACGAGTGGATCATTTGGAAGAGTTATTACTTCTTCCTTTGATGTGAGCCTTGTGATGCATGTGTCAAGGATTCAGTCAAGTGAGAGTCTTCCATGAAAGATGAGATAGACTCGTTTATGTCAAATCAGACTTGAGAATTAGCTGAATTACCACTAGGTAAGAAAGCACTCCATAACAAGTGAGTTTACGGGATCAAAAAGAGCACGATGGAGAAAATGCTACAAAGAAAGATTGGTTGTCAAAGGTTTTCATAAAAAGAATTATTAACTACAATGAAATTTTCTCTCCAGTCGTGGAACTATCTACAATTAGACTGGTGTTGAAAATTGTAACTGCAGAGAATCTATATCTTCAGTAGTTAGATGTAAAAACAACTTTCCTTAATGGTGATTTAGAGGAATAAATCTATATGAGGCAGCCAGAAGGCTTCATAGAGGCAGACAAGAAAAACCTGATATGCGGGTTGAAGAAGAGCTTGTATGGTTTAAAACAAGCTCCTAGACAGTGGTACAAGAAGTTCGATAGCTTCATGGGTAGCAGTAGTTTTACCATATGCCAAGCAGATCATTGTTGCTACATCAACAAGTTCGGTAACATCTTCATTATTTTATATGTTGATGACATGCTCGTTGCAGGCTCAAACATGCAAGAGATTATAAACCTGAAGAAAAAATTGTCGAAGCAGTTTGCAATGAAAGATCTAGGCACTGCAAAGCAGATTCTTGGGATGAGGATTAACAGAGATATAAATTCAGGGACTTTGATGTTATCACAGGCAGAGTACATCAACAAAGTACTCTCCAGGTTCAACATGCAAGATGCTAAATCAGTAAGTACACCTTTAGGTGTTCATTTTAGACTCTCCAAAAAATAGTCACCAAAGACGGAGGAAGAACGTGCACACATGGTGAAGGTGCCATATGCCTCAACAATTGGAAGTCTGATATATGCCATGGTTTGTACTAGACCAGATATTGCTCAAGCAGTGTGAGCTGTTAGCAGGTACACGAATAATCTAGACAATGTATACTGGGAATCAGTCAAATGAATCCTCAGATATCTGTGGGGTACCACAAACAAAGCACTTTGTTTCAAAGGTGGAGATACGATACTGACAGGCTATGTAGATGATGACTTAGCCGGAAATGTTGACATCAGAAGAAGCACTACAGGGTATGTCTATACTCTAGGAGGTACCGCAGTGAGTTGGGTTTCTCAACTACAGAAGATAGTTGCTCTCTCCACAACTGAAGCAGAATATGTCGCTGTTACGGAAGCCAGCAATGAGATGGTCTAGCTCCAAATTTTTTTGGAAGAGTTAGGCAAGAAACAAGAAAACAATGTCTTGTATTGCAACAGTCAAAGTATTATCCATCTAGCGAAGAATTCATCTTTTCATTCCAGGACGAAGCACATACAATTGCGATATCATTTTATCCGGTCTCTTCTGGAAGATGGGATTTTGAAACTTGAAAAGATTAGTGGAGCTCAAAATCCAGCAGATATATTAACAAAGACGGTGACTACGGACTAACTGAAGTTTCAGTTGGCATGCTAGAGTAACAAGACCAGAAATGCTTCTGCATTGATCGAGGGTGAAGACAGATTAGAATCAGTCTTCAAGTGGGAGATTGTTGAAAGTCAAGCTTTTCGGTGCATTAATGTACCGAATGGCATTAGTCAAAAGGGGGTTGTTTTTATTGAAATTTTAGTAAGGGGAAATTACCAAATTTAGTCTCTGTACTTTAGGGTATTTACAAGATTAGTCCTTCAGCTTCAACTATAAATACCATAACTCATTTAGCTTCAAAATCATCCCAAATCATTCTAGCTCTCTCCCAATACTAGAGAAATTAGAGAGTTTTCTTGAGAGCAATTTTCAGAGTGTAATTGGGTTGTGAGTTGTGAGTATTTTTTGTAAACACCTATAAATTTTCTCCTTTAGTAAAAGATCTGCAGCAGTCTGAAGACGTAGACATAATTGGCCGAACTCCGTTATCAATTTCAGGTATTATTATTCTGCTTTTATTTTGCATTCTCACTAATCTGGTTATAGAGAAATTACTCGTTTAATTTCCCAACACCAACGATTTATGATTTACGTACATACAAAGGGAATGATAGTAGATGATGAGTATCTGATATTGGGATCTGCTAATATTAATCAACGATTGATGGCTGGTTCAAGAGACACCATAGCAGTTGGTGCATGTCAACCCTATTACACATGGAAAGAGAGGAAGAGACATCCACGCTGTCAGGTTTGAACCTTCCCATCCTTGTCACCTTGCTTTTCTATGCATAATGTTGGTATTTATTCTCCCTTTTAATTTTTGAGAAATAATGCTGACCGGTCGGTTAACATGCAGGTTTATGGTTACATAATGTCAGTGTGGGCTGAACACATGCACGTAATGAAGGATTTGTTCAAGGAACCTGAAAGTTTAGAGTGTGTGAAGACTGTGAACAGCATTGCTGAAGAAAATTGGGTAAGGTACTTGAGCAATGAATTCTTCCTCTCCTATGTTTCACTCACATCACAATCGAACGAACTAACTCAGTAACTCAAGTTGTATGCCCGTCCGATGTTTGCCGTTGAAATATGAATATATTCTCTTCCCTTTGAGAAAGTTGATTCAGTTCATTCCACCCGTCCACTACCTTTTGCTTTTCTGCCAAATTCGGAGCATATGGTGGTAGAAGAGGATTTCAATTATTCTCTCCATTTCCTCATCTCTATTGCATGATTCCAATTCCCTGGTATTTGTTCCTTTCTTCCTTCTATTTATAGTCAGTAAACTCCATGGCCAATCCACGCTACAATCGCCTGCAACTGCAACCTCAATTTTGTTTCGATTCTCTCTTTTCTCCTTCCCAGCGTCAAACTTGAGCCGCAACCTGTTAACTTACTATGGGTAACAGTAACAGTAACATGAACAACGTAAGTGTCTTCCGCCGTTTTATTATTATTACTTTTTGTTTTCCTTTTGAAAATTGCAGGGTTTTTTGGGCACTTAAAGCTGTTATATACCATTTCTCTGATGTCACGTTTTGTTGAAATGCAGAACAAAGAGCATAACACAGAGGAAAGCACTGATCTGGGTACAATGTTCTTTCCCTTGGCATATATCTTGCTTTCTCTTTCTGGAATTTGGTTGTTTATCCTGTTCTGAAACTATGTTCCTGCTGGTCCTGGAAAAGGATGCTTTTTAATACCACAATCTCCAATACAATATGCTTTAGTTACACTAATTGAACTTGTAAAGATAAAATGAAGCAATTTCAACTAAATTTGATAAGCATGCCTACCATTTATATTCATTTATTTTTGTAAATACTTGGGGTCTATGAGGATTATTTTGTGCTCCAATCACATCTATGATGGTACCCTAACTCTTTAAGATGAAGAAATGGTAGAGACAAGTGGCTCCTAAAGTATGCTTTTGGATTTAATTTCAGGTGAAGTGTTGCGAAATGGAAGAGAAATCCTTTTGCAGGTAAATGTGACAAATGTTGATTATTCTTTTTTATTGGACCGATGTCATTACTCACCCGGGAATGATATTCTCTGTTTCGAAAGTGGAATTTCATAGCAAGCTAAGGGAAGAACTTTGAAGTTGTTTAATTTGTTCAACAGGGTTTCAACTGGGAGTCTCACAAATATGACTGGTGGAGAAACTTGGAAAAGAAGGTTCCTGACATTGCAAAATCTGGGTTTACATCTGTATGGTTGCCACCACCAACTAATTCCTTTTCACCAGAAGGTTAGAGAACAGTTTTCATCAAAGCAAGACCTAGTTTCTTATCAAGTATGCGCATGTCTGATAACGATACATATATATCCTTTTGTCTTTTTACAGGGTATCTTCCCCAAAACCTTTATTCACTCAATTCTGCATACGGGTCTGAGCAGCTGTTGAAGACTTTACTCCAGAAGCTCAGGCAGTACAAAGTTAGAGCAATGGCCGACGTAGTAATCAATCATCGTATCGGAACTACTAAAGGACATGGAGGAATGTATAACCGTTACGACGGAATTCCACTCGCGTGGAATGAACATGCTGTCACATCGTGTACTGGTGGATTGGTAACATAACATTCTATATTTACACTGCTTCTTTGATGCTTTGTAATTGTGGACCTACACTGTAATATAAGACTTCTTACCTAAAATATCTCTCAGGGTAACAGAAGCACAGGAGACAACTTCAATGGGGTTCCGAATATTGATCACAGCCAACATTTCGTTCGTAAGGACATCATAGGGTGGCTAAAGTGGTTACGCAGTGTCGGTTTTCAAGATTTTCGCTTCGATTTTGCAAGGGGGTAAGAACAATGCTGCACTAGTAGGTTATTGTTGTCTCTAAAATTTATCTGCTTTCCATCTCAGTATATTAATGTTGCTACAATGTTTGGCTTCAGTTACTCAGCAAAATATGTCAAAGAATATATTGAAGAAGCTAAGCCTATATTTTCTGTTGGGGAATATTGGGATTCCTGCAACTATAATGGATATGAATTAGACTATAACCAAGGTAATGAATGCACTTGACCTGTTTGTCATATTAGATATCTTCCATAAAAGACTATAACCAAGCTGACTGGTTAAATATGAATGGTGTTGATATCCGGTATGTTATATATTACATAATATTCACAAACTCTGCTGCAGATAGCCATAGACAAAGGATCATTAATTGGCTTGATGCCACGGGACAGATTTCAACGGCATTTGACTTCACAACCAAGGGGATTCTTCAGGTATGCTAGAAAATATAATATTACTTTTTTCCAAGAGAAAGGAACTGCATTTTAGCCTATTGCGGCACCAAATTCTTCTGATGTTTTTGATGCATTTGCAACTTTGCAGGAGGCTGTAAAGGGGCAGTTCTGGCGTCTGCGTGACCCTCAAGGGAAGCCACCGGGTGTAATGGGGTGGTGGCCCTCAAGGGCTGTCACATTTATTGATAACCACGACACCGGCTCAACACAGGTACTACAAAATTATGGTAATACTAGGAACCTGGATCTTCCCAATCTGGAATCTACTCACCTGCCAACTGTTTTATTCTTGCAGGCTCATTGGCCTTTCCCCTCAAATCATATTATGGAGGTATAAAGTTTGTAGCAAACAACACAAGATGATTTTCAATTTGCATCATAATTTCCCGTGAACTAGTTTCTGTTATATATATATATATATATATACCGTACACCCATATTATTGACTCCATGTGATCCTTCCTACAGGGTTATGCATACATACTTACACATCCAGGAATACCAACAGTTTTCTATGATCACTTTTACGATTGGGGTGATCCCATTCATGAGCAGATTTCTAAATTGGTATGATATACAACACAACCATTAATTTCCAAGCAAACAATTTTTCCAATGAATGCTTTTTTTAAATTTTAGTACGCATGCATGCAGATGAACATTCGAAGGAGTCAAGATATCCACAGCCGTTCATCTGTCAGGATCCTGGAGTCCCAAAACAACCTGTACTCTGCAATGATCGGAGACAAAGTATGCATGAAAATTGGGGATGGTTCATGGTGTCCAACTAGCAGAGAGTGGACACTAGCAACCAGCGGACACCGATATGCAGTGTGGCAAAAGCAATGATTCCTCATCCTTCTTTCCTTTCATTTCTAATCCCACTCAGGCATGATGCCTACTCCTTACATTTTACAATATTAAAATAAAGCCATCCCATCTCCAAATTTGCTTTGGAAAGTATTACGTCTCAGGAATTAACTACATTTACAATCAAAAATTATAGAGCATCTTTGATTAGTCTTACATTTTGTTCCTGATGTTGACTCATATCTATTCATACACGCAATTTAGAACTTCGGAGTCTTTTACTTAATTCATTCTCGAACTATTTTTTTCCTTTTGGCCCTTTTATCAGCTTAAAGAACCTAATTATAAGAGCAGTTGTTGTAAGACAAGTGATTTGAAGGGGCTCCATATAAATTTGCAGTAGTGAGGCTGAAAATTGCTTATACAATCAATGAGACATTAAGATTATGAAATCAATGGAGGAATTTTACAGGCAATGGAAAATGTTGCTGATTGATAATGATCTATCTGGTTGCAGCAAATGATAAGAAATCCTAACAACTACCTATGATCTAGTGGATGAGGTGTTAGGTCCTTAAGTTTAAATTATGACATTGTGAACGAATAAAACCGGTCAGAAGGTGTCGTGTTTTGAAACTAAATACAAAGAAAAACTTTCTTCCCCACCAGATTTGCTTCTCTATCTAACACGACATGATCTTTCTGCAATATTTTATGGGTTTGCCTGCCTAAAATACCCATAGCTCCATATTCACAACAAATCACACTCTCTCACGTGACATATACTTCGTCAAAATCTCTTAACATCTGCAATTTCTTTTATCCATGTTTGCAATTTCAAAAAAACCTCTTTTATTTTACCATTTTCAATATTTACTCTTTCCTTTATTTCATCTACCCAATCGCAATCATCGCCTTATTTAGCTTTAGCCAATGTTTTCCAATTAGAACTCAGCTCCATTTGTGGATAAGCCTGCTACCATGTTTCAGAAGATGAGACAACCAACATTTGCCTACATATAATGCAAAGGTACTCATTATTAACAAAAGTACTACAGCAAAATGTTCACCAGAAAAAAAAAGAAAAAAAAGAAGATGAATGATGATGAGGAGCACGAGAAAGTATAATAATTGCATGAGAATTAAGAGGCAGTCCGCATGCATCATAGTGGAATCGGAGAGTTTAGCTTTGCGTTGTTAAAGCCAATAACCATGGATGCATGGCCTCAAAAAAGCTAATGGATGATGTCAGAATAGAGTTCTCTTCACCACAGTCAGCATCATAATATTTTATTGTCACGAATAAACCTAGAAGAGAAATCGAACGATCAAAAAGGTATATCTAAGTTCTTGTGCTTTAAATGTGGTTGAATATATAGATGCTAATTAAGAACATCTTCTTATCTGAAATAATTAGTTGTGAAAATTCAAGCAAGTCGATGATTGCTATAGAAGAAGGGATGAAATCTCTTCATAAGAATAATACATGAAATCTAAAAGGTTCCTAATGATAAAAGGCTGGTTCGCTGTAAATGGGTGTTCAAAAAACTACTCTAGAAATTGAAGAATTCATATATAAAGCAAAGCTAGTTACAAAAGGTTACAATTAGACTCAGGTGTAGACTTCATAGACGTGTTTTTTTAAGTTGTTAAGCAAAATTTGATTCGAGTTGCTTGGTCATATGTAATTTTAAGCTTGAGGAGCTGTATGTGAAAATAATTTTCTTGCATGAAGAAGATGAGACATTTATCTACATGCAATAACCATAGAGTTCTATACTCAACGTTGACAAAGAGTATGACTTCGGTTTGAGTAAAAAAAATTTAGTTAATTCATGTTCTCTTTTAATTCAAATTCTTATCTGTCAACACACATTTTCGTCTTACTAAGATTTAAACTCCTAAAAATAAGATAAAATTTTGCTAGGATTCAAACTCCTAAAAATAAGATAGAGTTCTACTAAGATTTAAATTCCTAAAGATAGGATCCACAAGCACTATAAATAGCCATTGTAACTCACCATTGTAACACACGATTTACACACAAAACATATAGGAAAGCACGGGAAGATACAAAGGCAAAACTATTGTAAAGGATTCGAAAAGGAAATAAAATGTAGCATTTTCTTTTTTTCTTTCTTTTGCATGTGCACGTTATTTTTCTTGAGATTTGGTTCGAATAACCCAAAACGTGGGTTGCGCCGATGACAAAAATGGGTGGGGTTTCGAAGTTTCAAACCTAGATCTACCCCGAGGCTTATTTTTAAAAACCGGTTTGATTTTCGGTTAAAGAAGGTAAAGAGCTTTTTAAAAATCTATATTAGTCCCTTTATTTATATTTATATTTTATTCATTTATTTTTATTATTCATGTTATTATTATTATATGTATATATATATATTAAATTATTTTCATTTATTTTTTTACTATATTTTATTATTATATATATATATATCTTTAATATTTTACTTATAAGTCTAATATTACTATATATATTGTAATTATCTTTATCTAGTCGTATATATTTTTTATACTTTTAATAGTTTATTTATATACCTATTATTAAATATATATTCTTAATTATTTTATTTGATTATTTCTTTATTTATGTAATATATCTTATAACTTTATATATTTATATTATTTTTATTATTTTCGTTTTTTTATTCATTATTATTATATTATTATTTTTTTAAAAAAAAACCTTGTGTCTTTATCATTATTATTATTAAACATTATATATATACTACTAACCTAGAGGATCCATTTTTTTGTCTTATTTCTTACTAAAGCCCCCCCACTTTCGGTGAATTGGGAGGGTAGCTTTTCTATTTTAAGTATTTGGTGTATATATATAGTTTATTTATTTTATTAATACTTTGATATATATATATATATATATATATATATATATATATTATATTTATATTTATTATTTTTCATTTTTTCAAATATTACTATATATAATTATTACTTTACTATTTTTTTTTCTTATCTTACTTATTTATTTTATTTTCTCTTGTATCTTATTGTTTTCTTTACCTTGTTTATCTACACATTTCTCGATTTTTTTAAAGGATATTTTCAAATCAATCAAGGGTAAGTAATTATGATCGAAACTTTACCTTTTAATTTAAACTTTACCTTTTAATTTAACTTGTTATTTTTCTTAATTAAGACAACTGGAAATTACGTAGTACCGAAAGGGCGGTTCAAGGGTGCTAATCCTTCCTTGACCGTAACCGACTCCCGAGCCCGACATATTTCTGGTAAGACCAGATCAGGTAAGAAATAGGGTATCCGATCAACCCATTTATTTTTAAATAAATGATCAGTGGCGACTCCAATCCACATTTTTCTAAGTCGAAGCCCAATTCCGGGGCCCAATTGAAAGACGGTTGCGACAGCTTGGCGACTCCGCTGGGGACGGTAAGTGAGTCAGGCTAAGGTAATTTCCAATTGTCTTTTTAACGAAAAAGGTAAGTTTAAATTTAAGGTAATATTTCGATCCTTTTTACTTACTTTTGATTATTTCGAGTAAATAGTTGGACTAATCGTTTTTTCATGATTTCAGCCTTCAAAGTTTTCTTTTTTTCATCTAAAGGCTCTATACCCGAGCTTCGAACCCGTTTTAAGTGGGGGTGAAAGCGACGCCTTCGTGTGAATTTATTCATCGTATAGGCCTAGCAAGTAACCTTCGGGATTCATATACTTTATGCCTTCATGTGAATTTATTCTCCGTATGGGCATAAGGGAATGTTTCTTCTCGAGTTTAACTTAGTCCATAGAAGCCTGTGATGGGTTTAGGACTAAGGGTATGGTAAGCCCAATGGGGCACCGGCAAGGAGAACTCGAGTACCTTTTTTTTAGAACCTAAACCCAGAGACTACAAGGAGTTAGGGCCCACCCCAAAACCTCGTTTTAAACCCTAGGATGCTGAAATTATTTTTTGCTTTACTTTCTGTTCAAAACATGTGAACTAGAAATTTATGCGGTTAGGACTTGTTCAAAATCAACTTGCGGGATAGAGATCATGTCCGGGTAGGAATAATAAGCATGTGGTGTAGATATCATGTGGGGTAGGACTTTTATTTTCATGATTGCTTTGATTATTATCTTTACCTTACTAACTCTTTTCATTTTTTTTCCTCTCTTTTATTTTTTTTCCTCTCTTTTATTTTTTTTTCTATCATCTGCATCATTCAAAAGAGGTGTTGATCCAAAAAAAAACGTGTTCGTTAACCATAAATAATCTGCATTAATGGACAAAGGTGTTGTAATACAAGAGACTACGAATCCCGAGGTACGACTATGGTTCGAGAAGACTCAGAAAGAAAAGGGAGACAACCTTCAAGAAAGCCATGTGTCAGAGCTGGTTAGCTACGCATCTATCAGCCTAAAATAGAACAATGTGCAGGAGCTTCAAGATATCTGGGACAGTTGGAAGAATGATCGGAAACAGAAGTTCAGCCAACAGTACGGTGACATTGCACTTTTACTTCACGTTAGGATTGATGAGCCCTTGATTAGAGCCATGGTCCAATTCTGGAACCCGGGATACAGTTGTTTCACTTTTAACTGGGAGGACATGGTGCCTACTATCGAATAATACACCACACTGCTACACTGTGAAAACATCAAACTAGGGCGAGTCTACGTTAAGCACACCAAAAGTCAGCCTTTCAAGAGTATACTGGCCAGAGTCACGGGAGTAGACGAGAAATGAGTAATTGATCGGACTCAGCGCTGAGGCAGAGGATAGAAGAACTTGAGGCTGAGCGCTATCAGTGGAAGCTGGATGCCGATTCTCAGAAAGATAAAGTAGAAAAACTAGAAAATGAATAGAAAAGAGTCTGTTTCGATCTCGAAGACTTAAGAAAGGGGTATCTAGATGCTGTCAAAGATAACTCCAAGTTGAAAATGTCCTCTGAGTACTGGAAAGACGAAGCTCACAGCCTAAAAAGAAAGTTTGAGGGGCCTGATGAGAGAGCCTGGAAGGAAAAGATGAAGATTGCTCAGAGGCGCTTAGCAGACAGTCAACATCAAAACCAACGCTTGAGAATCCAGATGACTGATCTGGAGAAACATCATGAGAGAGATGGCAAAACAATAGATGAGTTAGAAGCTATCATAGATGGATTCAAAAAGCAAGCAACCGAGCTTCATATAGTGCCCTTTGAT